GTGTGTTTGTAGGTGTTTATATGTTAATATGTTGTTTGTATATGCGTAGTCATTGCGCATGTGTGTATGTATGTATACAACTATGTTTGTGCAGTGCAGTGCATTCGCATATACAACAAAAATACAACATTATATACAATATTAAGCTCTAAATCCTTCCTGAGAAAACTTTTTGAATGTTTTGAAGGAAAGTATTCATGCATAAATGATGCAAAAAAACACTGAAACGCAACAAAACACATACATACATACTTGCACGCACACTCATGCAATACACGCATACATATAGACGCACATCATACACACACATTCACGCACATCATACACACACACACACATACACGCACATCATACACACTTACATATACGCATATACACATACATACATACGCACACATACATGAACACAGACACACACACAAACAAACAATACACACGTATACAATTTTTCAGTAGAGCATATGTTGGTCGGGATTGCATGTTTTGTACAATTAGTAGCCGCCATAATCAAATTTGTCTCTCAAATTATCAGCCTGCATCATAACTATCATCATCGTCGTCATCTTTTTCATTTCCATCGTCATCATCATCATAATCATCATTCTCTTCTTCTTCTTTTTCATCATCATCATCTTCTTCTTCTTCTTCCTTTCCTTCTTTACTTCATTATTACCATCATTGCAAATATCATCAATATCGCAATTGTTATCATCGCCCAACTTTAACTGTTACATAATTAAACATCGTTCACCGTGTAACATTACATCTTTTGTAAATTGTTATATTACTTAATTGATTTGTCAGAATTATCATCATCATCGTCGTCTTCATTATCTCATCATTTTAAACATCATCGTCGTCGTCGTCTCATCATTGTAGACATCATCATCACTACCTCATCATTATTGGCATCATCATCATGTTATCACTGTCACCAACGTCATCATCATTACAGACATCATCATCACCATCATCACCAACATCATCATCATTTTATTACAAGCATCATCATCTCAGTTAATGCATTTCCATAGCAACAGATTTCCATGCACAAAACCAGTGCATGCCGGCATAGCAAGTAGCCATCCATCCAACCGGACTCTCTCACATACTTAACACGCACTGTGTGTGTGTATTTGTTTGTTTGTATGTGTATGCGTGTGTGTGTGTGGTGTGTAAGTGTGTGTGTGTGTGCGTCATGTATGTATGTGCGTGTATGTGTGTATGTATGTGGGTGTATGTATGTGCTAAAAATGAATTCATCAAGCAAGCATGGCTATACAAACATACCTCGAAATAAAGTGTGAGAATGAATGTGTGTTGTGCAGTGTGTATTGTGGGAGTTGCGTGTGTGGGCGTGAGTGGGTGTGAGTATGTGTAGGTAGGTAGGTAGGTAGGTGTTACTTTAGCGTGATTCTTTTGCTGCTTCCATTCAAGCAATTTTCATTTGCAATGCAGTATCCATGAGACTGATTGAAAACAAATTAGTTGTTCCTGCAACAAATGCACGCTCACACGTCACGTGCACACACACAAACACACACACAAGGTCACACACAAACGCATAAACACACACACATGCACACGTACGCACGCAATATGCACATAGGCACATTACGCATTCACACATGCATTCTCATGACTTGTCTAATGTTAGCTTGTATTATTATTGTTCTCTATATATTATAACTATTGTTATTATTGCTATTGTTGTCTTCATAATTATAATAACAATAATTAATATCTTATTGTTATTATTGTTATCTAGGCAATGCTTTTTGTTGTTTATATTATTATTTTAAGCATTGTTCTCATGCGTATTAATGGCTGCCTTATTGAAATAAACCGTTATCTACTTCCATGTTTTTACTTTCTGTAATTCTTCTAATTAGTATTATTTATTATTATTATTGTTATTATTATTGTTGTTGTTGATATAATAATGTTAACTTTATTATTATTAAGTATTATTCCTTGCTAACAGTATTATTACTAAAAATAGTAGTAGTGGTAGTTGTAGTAGCGGATGTAGTAACAGTTGTAGTAGTAGTAGCAGCTGTAGTAGCAGAAGTATCATAGTTAAAGTAGTAGTAGAAGTGTTTTGTAGTAGAAATGTTTTGTAAAAGTATTTGTGTTATTTTCATTATTACTATTATTACATTTTTACCGTTAGTGAAAAATTTATTATTATTACTATTTTTTTGTTATCATCATTATTATTATTATTATTATTGTTGTTAGTGCTCTTTGCCGTTAATGTAGCAAGTATTATGGCTGTTGATAATATTTTGCGGGGGATAATGAAATGACGTATCCGATGCTGATGTTGCTGATGTTGTTGTTTTTGTTGTTGTTGCTGCTGCTGTTGCTGTTTTTGCTGTTGTTGTTATTGTTTTTGTTGATGTTTTTGTTGTTTTTGTTGTGGTTGCTGTTGTTGTTTTTATTGATGTTTTTGTTGTTGTTGTTTATCTCATTGATGTTTTTGATGTTACCATGTTTTTGTTATTTTTAAGGATGACGACGATGATGATGGAAGTGATGATGATGAAGAAGATGATGACTTTAAAAAGAATGATGATAGCAAAAAAAGATGACGAGGACGACGACAATAATGATGATGATGAAGATGAAGAAGAAGAAAAAGATGATGATGATGATGACGAAAATGATGATGATGACGACGCTGACGATTTTAGATGAAAATGTATTGCATTGTATTAAGTACTTCCGCCCGTAATTGACACGACTATTCATGATTTCATTCATTCGTTCTTTCTTTTTTTTCTTCCTCTCCATTTCTCTCTTCATTTTTATTTTTTCATTTGTTTGGCTGGATGGGAAAGATGTTGACGCAACAATGTCATATTTTACGAAACGATCGTAACCTCAGACACAATACTAAAACATTTTGTATTTCTTAACAACAACAACAACAACAAAAACAACAACAACAACAACAAAAACAACAACAACAACAACAATAACAACAACATTAATAACATTAACAATAATGATAATAATAGCAATACTGTCAACTAAATAAATCGCGCC